CCCTCCCCCCCTCTCTCACGCGTCCTAGATATCTCCACAACCTGACTATCGCGGGCAGACAAGATGTGGTCACATCTAGTCGGTATATCTGCCGGCTGAAATCTGCGTCCACTGTTGTAGCAAGCACATTGTTCATGACGACTTTTATTTACTTATCAACTCAAAGCGGACGCGCATTCTTGTTTTCCGACAGTTCTTGAAGTCGCGCTCTTTTGGAGAAGTTTTAGTTTTAGTAAGAGTTTTACGGCACTTGCAACACTATAACGTCATATAAGTGCCGAAGTTTAGACGTGTTACAAATTACAAGAGAGTAACAAATTAAAAAAAAGAAGGAGGAGAGATAAAGGCGATAGATGTTTGATAGGAAAGAAGGAGCAAACCACACCAGAGCACCCGCCAACCACCCAGATGGAGAACTGTAAAAAAGAAGAAGCATAATTCAGTTGTGTTTTTCTTGTGTTCAGCTTTAAACGTCTGGCAAAAACGTGCAGACTAGTTGGAGCCTCTGCTCGGTCCGACGTTGTGTCCTTGGGAAAGGCGCTTCACACGAATTTCCAGTTTGGTTCTGTCCTTTCGGAGATGGACGTTAAACTCGGAGGTCCCGCCCCCTCTTAAATAACCTAATAGTGTTGATAGGGGTGTTAAACCTGTACTATTAATTCATCTTTTTTTTTCGTTCATACTATGAAATGTGCAAATCGGTGTTTCTAATTCGCTATGCTGCTGCAGTGGTTGGACGTACGACATGATGTGTGTGATTATGCTGTTGAGGCTAGAGAGGTGAGCAGAGTAAGCCTGATTCTCCGTTTGGACTTCTCTATTGACATCCACCCTTTGGCGCTCATATGACCTTATGCAGTTGCGAGCGCCGTAAACCTCTACTATAACGAACAAAAAGATGTGTGTGCGTGTGTGTGTGTGTCGGCTACCTTCATAAAGAGTTGATGAAGAAACACACGTCGTACCTTTGGCCTGCTGCGAGTGTTTGGCTGTGTTGTGTGATGTGAAGGATTGTTCTTTTTCTCCGGCGCTCGGCCATGGCGAGTCTGGTTGGTATTTTCTTTTGATCAGTGTGGTGTGTTTCTGAGGTGAAGGGCTCGCGCTAAAAGGATACTGGATTAACGACAACGACGACGATAGCAACAACAACAATATAAAAAACAACAATAAACATCGTCGTCAACAACAGCATCGAAAACATTAGCAATAACAACATCAACGACAACAACAACAACAACAACAACAACAACAACAACAACAACAACAACAACAACAACAACAACAACAACTCCAGAAGTGGGTTTATGGGCCGAAAGGCACTCGCTCACAGGCTACTGAACTATCAACAAAACTGCAACAACAACAGCAACAACAGCAGTAACAACAACAACAACAACGAAAACAACAACAACAACAACTGCAACAACAACAACAATAACAGCAACAAATGAAGTCTGTGGTGTAGCAGTTAGCACTTCGTTGTTGCATCCAAGAGCCGGAGTTCGATACCTGAGTGACAAGAACTTTTGTCGAGTATCTCGGTCTTTCTGCTGGGATGTTGTATCCTTCTCAACCTGGGCTGGTCCTGACAGGCAGTGTAGAAACCCGCCCTCTAAGTTATCCAAGTTGAAGGAAACGTAAAAAAATATTACATTTTTAAAAAATCAAACGGAATCGAACCGTTTGTACGAGGAATAAGTGGGTGTCCCTTCTTCATCTGGATTATTAATTAATATTTTCTGTTGATTTTGCTTTCTTTCTGTGGGTGGTTGGTGGGTGCTTTGGTGTAGTTTGCTCTTTTTTTTCTGTTCGACATCTGTCGTCCTTATATCTCTCCTGTTTCTTTCCTTTGTATGTTACTCTCTAGTAACACCTCTAATCGTCGGAACTTATATGACCAATTGATGTTGCAAGTGCTGTAGGACTTACTAAAAACAGCAGCAGCTCTGACCTGACTAAAAACAAACGAACAAACAAACAAACAAACTAACTAACTAAACAAACCATCTCATCATCAATGCCTTTCACCCCTGGCAGGGTATAGGCCACATACAAGCTCCTTCCCTTTATCTCTGTCCTGAGCCATCCTTCCTAGATCGTTCCAAGTGTGTTTCATCTCTCTCATGTTCCTTTCCACGCATCTCCTCCATGTTTCCCGTGGCCTACCCCTGCCTCGTGCTCCCTGTGGGTTCCACTCTAGTGACTGTCTTGTGATGTTTCCGCCGGTCTTTCTGAGGATGTGTCCCATCCATCGCCACTTTCCTGTCTCCGTGATTTTATGCACCCCGCATAATTTAGCAACATTTGATCATTTTTTGCTTAATTTCTGATTATTTTCCTTTATCATTCTTTGATAAAAATTAACAGAATCGCATAATTTCACATTTTTGGGCTCTTTTTGTATAATTCCAGAATTTTTCTTGCATAAAACGACGGGGACAGACTTTCTTAGTCCTGTATCTACTTCTATAACAACATGTCCTTTTGTCCTGTCCTTTCCCACAGCTCTTCATTTCGTGCTCTATCCTGCCACTTAGTTCTTATCATACTTCTCATACATCTGTTAATAATAATAATAATAAATAGCATTTATACTGCGCATTTCCATTTCCTAAAAGATGCTCAATGCGCATTACAATGACATCTTAAAAATTAATCGACACAAATGTGTACGTAAAACAAAGTATTATACATATAATATAAAT